ACTTGGATTGGTACTATATTTACAACAAATAATACTAGTACACTTCCCCATCCTAACTAAAGAACCAGGGAACAGCTTGGTGGTGGTCTCGTTTGAACCTCCCAACTGACCTTCCTTCGTTCTCTCCTTCAGCGCAACGGCGTTATCAGGGCCCTGCGGATGCTAGACGTTCACCTGCACCCGACTTTGAGGTCGGTACTATGGTCTTTGTTAAGGCTAAGTATTTTAGATCCACCCGACCCTCGAAGAAACTCTCAGAGAAGAACCTCGGGCCCTTTGAGACCATCGCTGCACCTGGAACCCACTCCTGCACCATCTGCCTTCCTGAGACTATGAGAGCCGTGCACCCGGTCTTTCATGTGTCCCAACTCGAACCGGCCATCCCCAACACCATTCCCAACCGCATACAACCTCTGCCTCCACCCGTTGAGATCGATGGTGAACCTGAGTATGAGATTGCTGAAATACTAGATTCAAAGTTGGATCGTAGGCATCGTAACTGTAAGTTACTGTACCTGGTATGTTGGCTCGGGTATGATGGGACGGACGAGGAGACTTCTTGGTTGCCAGCCACAGAGCTTGGCTGTCAGAGACCAGGTTGAGACGAAGGAGATGTCTCCGTGGTGGAGGGCTTCGGCCTCAGCGACTTATGCCAGGAGCGCTGTGCCAAGTAACATGTCCGTGCCCTAACTTACTAAACTGGCAACCAGAACTGAAGGGGGTAAACTCTAGTCGATTTTATTACTGAGGTGTAACCTATGTACAAGTTGAGTATATATATAGTTACAACGAGGGCGGGTCCGCAAATGGCAGAGCCGAGCAGAGTGGAGCTAACGGGGTTAGACATTAGCCGATTGAATATTACCGACGAGTCAGGTTATGGGGTTAACGGAAAGGTAGGTGATAACCCAGAAACGGAAAGGGGGGATAGACCCGAAGGTGGGCTTTGCAGGGCAAGCGAGTGTATTGCCCAGCGGAGGCAGGGGTGCGCTAGCAGACGTTGGAGCTGTCCAGAAGCCTTCAGGGCTCCATACTTAGGGAGGCGTAGGTAATAAATTGAAAGGAGGGGGTGGTGACCATCGAGGGGTACCGAGGGGATTGCGGAATATGGGAGCTCTGAGGTTAGTGAAGAAGGAGTGGAGGTAGACCGGAGGGATCGGAGGGATCGGAAGTCGATGGCCGGGGATGGATATGACATTGGCCATGCCTCTGACTTGGTTTCTGACTTCTACACGCTGTATCCTGACAAGCCGGGCCCTCACCTTTCTTAGAGTGCTCACGCATCAACTGGCCATGTTGATTAGGGTATGGCACATTGGAGGTATATACAAAAAAAATGAAAAAAGAGAGATTTCAGGGCGACGTGCCCACACCATGGGAAGTATACATGGGCGGGTCACCCGCTCCCCCACCGTCCAATTTCTCCTTCTTCTTCCTCGACCTCTCCTCCTGCATAATCTTGGCGATGTAGGCGGGCACAGCCGGTACTGCATAAACAAACCGAATATCGCGATTTCCCCATCCCTGCACATCCCCACTTCACTAAACAGATCACACACGTCCTCATATACCATTCCTACTCTTCCATGATTTTTCCCATTTTTCCAGACACATTCCCAGTCCTCACAGACCAAATTCCCACGCCCACCCAGCAGCGCGGCCACACTCAGACTGGATTTCACTTATCTCAGCAACCACTGGACCGATTTGGACGATATTGGTACCGTTGGAAACGCGTCATTTAGGAGTATTAGGATCCATGATTAGCGGGAGTTCATTGGTGATGGATAGAGTTGGATATTTTTTTGGCTGGAAATCATTTATTGCTTTATTGTTTTCCCTTCTTTTTTTCGATATTGTTTGTTGCCCATATGATCCACCTAAGCACATGGGGCACATCGGATATTTTTTATCATTTTTATTTGATCATTTCTCATATATACCTGTACATGAGGATGTATCTACTTTTCCCCTTGGATTAGAAACCACCGAGTTTGCCCCTCCCAAGCTAGTAGGGAGTATTACGACAAAGAACATCAGTAAGAAGACCTCTATATCAGTCCTCGCCTTAGTGTCACCCAGAGAGGTGGGGTAAGAGATTGATTAGAGTACACCACGCACCGTACCACACCGGACCATACCATATCACCATTACCCCTTTTCCCTGACCTGTTGGATACCAATCCGGTCCCCGTCCTTTCCTGTTTTCCTAGTGGGTTAGATCCCGAGCCCGCTTACAGCGACCTCACTGGGCAACTGCCTCACAGTGTCAGTCAGCTCCTTGAGGGCGTCAACGATCGCCTCACCCCACTTCTCCACGTCACCCCCATCCTCGTCCCAATCATCCTCGTCCCAACCACCCTCATCCCAACCACCCTCGTCCCAACCACCCTCATCCCAACCACCCTCGTCCCAACCACCCTCCCCCCCGTACCCTCCCCCCCACCCTCAGACGCTTGTGCTGGCACCTTGGGTGAGATCACCTGCGGTTTCTTCTGCTGCGAGGGCGTCACAGTCCCCACCCAAATCGTAACCAGGTCGCATTTGGCCCTGGCATGCATGCAGTTTGTGCATGCCTGGTACCTGCCCTGCTCGCAGACCAGCTGGGACTTGATACAATGACCACAGGGGGGCTTTTCCCTTGCGGCCTGTGGAGGGTCGACTGAGGCCTTGTGCTAAAAAAACAAAAACAAAAAATACTTGTGTTAGCCTCAGAGATCACATGGCAGTAAGTGCTTAAGGATGCTGGCTACTCACCTTGCCTTTGGACGACCCAGCTGCCCACGCCTGCTGGCGCTTCGCCTCTGCCTCCTGCTCCCTGGCTTCCTCTTCCTCATGCCTTTTCTTTTCTTCGGCCACCCGCCTAGCTGCCTTGGCCGCTTTCTTGACCACCTTGCACCTCACCCGCTCATTCAGCTTCGCCTGCATCATGGCAGGCTCGTCATCCGTCGCCTCCTGGATGTCCTCCTCCCCCAGGATGCGATGTTGTGTAATTCAAGAGTTTTGGACATGAAGGCAGGGAATTGAGTAAGTCTGATGGATAATGACTGGACTTGATCAAAGGACATTTTGTTTTCACATGCGGATTCAAAATTTGGAATTGGCCGAACGATTCCCACGTGCGCCAATTGGGCCTCCAGGGGTGTTGGCCCTAAGAAGGGGATACTGTCACGACCTGACATATCCGTCACTTCCGTCAACGCATCCTAGTGCCACTTGGTCCGTCCTGCCCACTATCATCATCATCCATCCACCCGTCACCCTCATCCGCACTTCCTCCCCCGTGCGCGTACCTTCCAACCTAGGTTGCCCACTTCATTGTTGTCTGCTCGCCAGCCAGATGGCTTGCTAGACGGCCAGATGGCCTTTTCTCTTTTGTCTGCTTGCGGACTATTGTTCCTCCTTTGTCACTCATTGTTCTTGCTTGCCTTTTGTTGACCAAGTTTTCCGATATTAACTATTTGTCTCTTTCTTCATTCATTAATATCACGCTTGATCCGCCACTCCTTCCGGGCCGGTCCTATTTAGTTACTTGTGTTTATAACGCATGTAGGTTACACCAGATGTACCTCAGTTCATATATCGACTTGGATTCCCCCTCTAGTCTCTTCTCCTCATTGTAAGGCTCCTGTCTGAAATTGGGACAACAACGTAAGAACGAAGTGCAGCGCTCCACCCGAGTCGCTGAAGCTAAAGTCCTGCCCCTCCAACCTTACGGGCCCAGATGACTTCACGCGCCTCGCAGGTCACCCTGGATATGCATCCGACATGTTCCTGACAATGGGACTCCATGTGCATCTGCTGCTGAGCATCATACTCTTCTGCATGCTCAACATTCTGCCTCACTAATTTTAGGACTGCCTTATGTTGGTCCTTGAGTACAATCTGGATCCAAAATAACATAAGTAACCCAAGATACTGCTAGAAACTTTACATACATGCTTGTTGACATTTTTTTTGTTACTTGACAGATATACCTGCCAGTATTCCCCATGATGTTTTTCACCTGGTTTGGTACTGACATGGATGAGGGCACCTTTCTGGCATACATCATCAAATGCATGGGATACAGCATGGGCTTTGGGGAAGGACCAAGATTTCTGCCCATTGGGTGACAGTGACTTAGTGTATGCCTTTTTTATTGTCCCCACTAGTGTTTCAGGGATGATAAATGGCTAACAAGAGTGAGACTTGTTGTCAGCTGTGTTTGAGCTGAGTTCATACCTGTTTCATTGCATCTTCAAGCTGCTGCACAACTTGATGGCCCCACTCAAGAGTTTCATCAGTATGCACCTCAAGAGAAATAAGGACTTGTCAGGGATCGGCCCCTGACCCCGCTGTCAGGGCACCCAACCACACCCCAGAACCACCTTCCCAGACCTCCCCATCCCTACATACCTCTCACAACTTCAGCCTGCATGTGAGCCCGCAGGAAAAATCACGTGGGTTAAGGCGAGCAACTCGCCTTAACCCATGTGACACCTTTTCCGAGTTGCGGGAACATGCTCGGCTTCTACCCGGAGTCACATTATGAACTGTACAGTACACTTCCTTTTTATAGGTGCCAAGCGGGGAATAGGGAAACTTACCCTTCTTCTCAACTCAATCCCCGCTTAGCCCCTTCAGTGAGTTTGAGGAGCTAAGGACAGGGTCTAGCGCCCAACCACCCGGAACACCGCACACACCTAGGCCTGAGGTCAGGCTGTCCCTGATCGAGGACCGAGCCCTGACAGGACTGAGAACTCTGCAAGAGTGCGAATAAGTGTTGAAAGGGGATATAGTGCTTCATTCAAATCATGGAGCCCATGCAGAACAACCTGACACCATATTAGCCTAGCATAATATTAGGATAATACTTCCTCACCTTCTATATTTTGTGCCATCTGAGAATGACATTGAAAGGCAGTGTTTAAAGTGGTTCAATTCTGGCCACCATGGAATCTCTGATATCCTAAAATTCCTGATTTTAGTGACTTGCAGTTATCATCCATTTGAGAAGCTCACCACTGCTCAAATTTTGCTCTAATAAACTTTGGATATCCTTCAATGATTCCTTGGCATAATGGCCAAATGTGGTCACCCCAGAGGCCTAAATCATTGAAGTGAAGTTTATCATATGAAACCATTGCATGAGGATCACTCCCTAGAGCCCAGAAAGCATTCTAGACTCAGTTTATTAGGGAAAAAAACAATTCAGGATAATTTTGAGTCATACTGGAACCCCAGCCAAGCCAGCACTTGAGAGGATTTCAGTCGCCCTTTTCTTTGTGGAGGCAGACATTGCAGATTGGAATGTTGAGTGACTGTCTTCTGATGTCCAGGCAGGCCATTTGACTGTCAGGGAGGATAATTTACTTGTGTGAACCTTGCAGTGGGGACAAGGATAATTTGCATTTGGCCCCAATGTGCCTGTCAACATGGTTCTAAACAAATGGAGCACCCTCAATATATTAGCTTCAATTGTAATTGTGGGGTGTCACTCACTGCTCCTCCCCATCAGCAGCAGCATCATTCAGGTACAAATAAATATGATGCATCTTCCCATCCCACACTGGAGCCGGGTCCCAAACTGACTGGGTTTTTTGAGAGATTCAAACACCTCAGCAAGGCTGCAATGGACCAGGTTCTGGCAATATGTTGCAAAGTCAAATTTATCTTCTGCTCTTTCCTCAACCTGGAAGGATACAATTAGAGCCAAAAAAAGACATTTATATATACTCTACATGAGGAAGGAGTCCAATTAAGTGGCCACCTCCAAATCCAATTGTGTTCCTGATATTGCTGTGGACATTGAGAGCACACAAGATGACTGGATATGCCTTGACTGTCCCAAAGCTGGACAGTTGGGATTTGTCAGAATACACTGAAAGTGCAAGCAACACTGAAGGCGTTCCATCATCCTGTTCTGGGAGATCATTCTACCAGGGAATGGTTATTGCAAGATAATTGCCAACAATAAGAAGCATACTGTGATGTCCCAAAATTCATTAGCAGTCCAGGGCTGACTAATAAATCGCATCCAACCTCCACCTGTTGACTTGTATGTCTTCTGGGGTATCCACTCTACTTCATGGATGTATAGTGGATCACAAAGTAGGTCAGTTAGGTACTGATGCACATTTTTCCAAAAGAGGACATGAGGCCGAATTTTAGAGTTCTCATCTGATGGAGCAACTGAGACCATCACAGTACACTCCTCAAACTAGGATCACATCAGCTGTGAGAAATATAGGTTTGGAATGGGGTGCACATTTGTAAGAAGCTCTGCAGCTTTGTTGAGCATTTTTTAAAATTCTTTATGAGTGGTAAAGGTGATGGCTGGCTGGGGACTTTGCATATGAATTTTAATGTGTTTCTATTGAGTGAATTGAGCAGTTATCCCCAGTCACCAGCTCTGCAAATTCAAAGTCTGCCTTGGTCACAAAGGGTGCCCAAGGATTTGAAAATGGGTTGGTATTTGGAGTAGTCTTTGCATCAAAGTGTGATGTTCCCATTTCAAATGGGGCTATCTTTGGTGCCATGCCAGAACTGTGGTGAAACTCAATTTTTAGTGACTGTGAAGGAGCCTCTGCTCATAATTGTCATGAGTGTAGTGATGGGAATACCATGGCACAGCATACCTTGAGCTACCAGTTCTAATGATCCTAATGGCTCTGAAGGTGATGCATCTTCTAATGGTCCCAATGGTTCTGAAGACATGTCTTCCAGAGTGTTTGATCCTACAACTGTTTGTACTGAGCAACCCAGGTGAGCAAAGCACTAGAAGTCATGTTGAGCCAACACACCTGGGATACCAGCAATTGGTGTTGTACTCATTTCAGATGGCCCAGCTTGTCCCTCAATTAGGCGATTCCTTGTATTTTCCATCTTCTTCCCCATGTGTTTCATTACCATTTTCTCCTCACAAGCAGTTACATGTTTCTTCCAGCCCTGAGGGTCAAATTTTTTTTTGGTCACTGAGCAGTAGAGGTTGGTGTGGTCATGTATGGATGATGACATATTGACAGATAAGATGTGTATTTCTTTGTGATGGTGTTGTCCAATTGATGTCAAAGGTGGGGATGGACCTCCTACACACCCTTAAATACGTAATAGAGACACAGCACAGCTACCTGAACTGTATAGCTGGGGGAATTGGATCAAGGATTGTAACTAGATCACAGGAATGATCATCAGATCAGTGCACAGCATGGCCATCAGAACAGATCATAGGAATGATCATCAGATCAAACACAGCATGGCTATGGCTCCTAGTGGATCAGAATCCATGGATTTTTAGAGGTTTGAAACAAAATCTGTATCCAGTGGTTAGAAATCCACATTGGAGGCAGCAACACAGCATGCAGCATGCATTAGATGAAAGTGTCATATCTGTACATACCTGATCCCAATTTGACTCCTGGACCCTTTCCACCACCTCCACTTGCCTGAAGTGGGAAAAGGTGAGAAGAAGGTTGCTTCTCCGGTTCCCACTTCGGCTGTGTTTATATACATGTATCCAGGGTCATATGTGGAGTGCCACATCACTCTCACACACAACCACAGCCATCCAGGTGCCTCTGTGGGAGGTCCCAGGGGCATCCACTGTGGGTGCACGACAAGAGTGCACGAAGAGTGCACCTGGGTTGACTGGTGCACCTGAGTGTCAAAAACCCCTAACAAGAGGGAACATGAGTCTGAATGCAGGCGGGGCTCAACTAGAGGGGTTCCAAGAGCTCTGGTAGTGAACCAAAGCTTCTCCAGTCTGCTGGGTGGTACAAGAGGCTCTAAGAAGGATGCAGCCTCAGCGACTTGGAGGGAGTGCTGTGCCTCCATTATGTCTCAGTTAGTCCTTTCATTTCATGTGTCTGAGGTATCTTGTAGGAGGGGGTCAGGATTCACTCATAGAGGGACTTGGGGCAAGTTTTAGTTGAGATTAGAACTGAGGTACAACAGGTTTTAATCTACAAGTATATATATAGGGAGGGAGGAGAAGGACTTTAGTCAAAGTCCAAGTGATACTGACAAACACTGAAAGGTGCTGAATGATATCCTTAACAGGGAACCAAGGTGTCAGGTCAAGGAGGGTGGAGTAGAAGGCCGGAGGATAAATTGGGACGAGAAATGGGTAAGGGGAAGTTAGCTGACTGAATGGAAAGAAGACAACAGTTGTACTATAAATGGGAGGTGACTAATTTATGATGATGTGAGCAGGATCACTGGAGGATGCAGTTAGCTCTGAAGCCGGAGTTACATATCCAAAGGATGTTGGGTGACTCCACTAAATTAAATGGGAGGGGGAATGGTTTAGAGGTAAGTCACAAGATGTCGGAGATCCATTGGGAGGTCAGAGCAAATCTGGAGGCTCCAAATGTTCCAACTCGGGGCTGAGCTTCCAGGATGGGAGTGGCCATGGGCAAGTGTGCCAAAATCCAGGCTGGAGCTGAGACAGTTGGGAAGGAAGGTGACATTGGGAAGTGGGGAGGTATGGTGTAGGGGATGATGAGGTTGTTAGGAAGGTGTAGTGAGGTGGGAGAGTGTGGGGTCAGGATTCTGGGATATGACACTGAGGCCAGGTGCATTGTGCACATGGGTTGTGGGTTAGTAGTACATCGATACAGAGGAAGTTGACCATGTAATTGTCAGGGCACACCTTCAGGTCACTAGCATAAGTAGTGCATTGCCACATGACTCGTGATCCCATCAACTTCTGCTTCTTTTCCGCTTCTTCATCTCCGGTTTGATCCGGTCTGCAGCTGTCGGTTATGATGCCACATGATCTTCTATCTTCCTTGATCCGATAATACTGGTTATTAGTTAGTTGGCTAGTTACCGCCTCTACCATGTATATAAGACCATGTGCTGGTGTGGGCATGTCCCCCAGCTTTGCTATCAACTAGGTTTTGGGGATTCTTCTTGTTGCGAGCATGCACAACCCTGACAGTAATGAAGGGAAGTAAAGTGAAGAAAGGGGGAGGGGATGGAGGAGTGGTAGGGAAAGAGAAGAAGAAAGAAAAGAAGAAACAGGGGAAGGGGCACCAGGTGAGCTGGGTCCGGGGGCAGGTGGACACAGGTGGACCCAGGTGAGCAGGTGTGCCCTGACACCTAGCTTGCCTCTGTCCCCTGTAAGACCTCCACCCTCTGAAGTATCAGGATGTCAGGGCACACCATGCCATACTGCGCTGCACCCCTCTCTGCCCTCTCTTTCTCCCTCTCTCTCCTTCCTCCTTTCCTTCTTTTTCTTCTCTCTCTCTCTTCTTTCTATCCTTATATGGATGACCTCTCCCTTTTCCATATTTGTAGCATGGACATGCCCAACACCGAGCACCCTGCATGGGTGCTGTGATGCTGAGTGCACCACACATCCCTACTTGTATTTCTCCTCTCTTACACCCAGGATAGACCACGGAGTTGCCTGCAACAACCCAGCTTCAATGTGGCACCTCCATGTGACTCATTTTCACATGTATATAAACCTAGCCAAAGCAGGACCAAAGAAGCAGCCTTCTTCTCATTCCCACTTCAGCCTAAGAAGCCACATAGGGACACCAGCCTGAGTGAGGGCTACCCACCATATGGTCTCACCACCCTGCCGCTGTCCAGGCCACTAACACCGAGCGTTACACTGCTACCCCACCTCTTCAGAGCCATCCCTGACACAGGACCACATCAAGAACAAGGTGCCATGCTCCTCCCTGAGTTGTTGAAGCCAAAATCCCAGCCCACTCACCTAAGCAACCTTGGCCTTAAGATCAGTGAGGTTGATCCTTGCTAAAGCTCAGCTGTAAACGAGAAGCCTATATTACTAGCAGCTACGTATGGTCACCGACAGCTATCATTGGTGAGACTTCATGCAATTCTGACACTCTCCCTCTTTTCAAATCCACATCTCTGATACAGGTCCCCAGCACCACTATACTGGGACACCTTCCCCCTTGGACCTGTCCCTGACAATCTCCTGACATAGTCATGAGCTTGGAGTGATCATATACATGCACACAAAATTGGAGCAAACACAGATATCACAAACACAAACACAAACTTTACAGACATAAACAAACAAAGGTTTCCTTATGAAAGAAGGCTATTCATTACCAGTTCCTGCACTCTGGCCTTTATGGCCTCCATGGCCCCTGACACCACCTTGCCTCTGACCTCTCCTCCTATGACTGTGCCCACACCTTGTCACACCCCCCTCATCCAATCCAACTCCAGAGCTTTCCACAACTTCAGTCTGGGGATCTGGATCCTGGCTCTCTGCAAGAGTGTCAGCACCAATACATATATATTTGGATGAACACACGAGGCATCTCAGAAGGAGCACTGGGTGGCACTTGGTCTGCTTCCTATGGCAAATTTTTAGCATTCACATAATATGAAACTCCCTATATTGAAAATCTCACAGGAGATTCAGCTGGTGGGCCCACCTCACTGTCATTAAGATCCATTTCAGCAAGAAGGGCATTCAGGCCCACAGAGATGCTCCCAGCTTCCATCAACACATTTGGTTCTTCCCCTACAGAAGAACCAAACAACAAATACTGGAACCAATGAATGGTTTCATGCATTGGACAGGTCATGGCAGTTTCTTCTTGTTTAAGCACCATGTGGATGAACTTATAGAAGTTCAGAAGAATCTCAAGGTAGTTCATTCTGCTTGGTTTCCCATGACCAGATACCATTTCTGTGTCACCAGACAATATGAAATAGACCTGGTTTCAGAATAATTGGTCAGTGTAAGATAGTCAAGCGAAATTTTAGTGGTTCCACACCAGCATTGAAACAATGGCAACAGTGCCAGGGGTTATACTGGTTATGTTATACATGATACCCAATGCCTTTGGTGATGCATGCAGTTTTGCCGGTTCCCAATCCTCCAGCAAAGGAGACCCTGGAAGTGGAATAGCAGACACCACATCATTGAGTGCAGAAGAACCAAATATAATGACAATAATTGCCTTATTGTAGCAATGTCAGTGTAATAGTTAGCATAAGCACAAGCAAAGTGCTCACAGCTGCAACTACATGTGAACGAAATACATGCTGGTGATGAGATCGATCACTATCTGGGAATAAAAATAAGGGTAAATGATCCATAGGGTTGGTGGAACCCACAATCATTCCCAGAAATTCTTGACATTCTTCAGCTGTTGGACCATGCCCTGATTTCAGCACAGATGGACTTAAGTCCTTTCCAAACAACTGGTAGCTTGATTTGCACAAGCAGTCCAACATTTGGCACCTCCATGCCCTGACATCGTGTCAGGGCAATAGCCCCGAACCCCGAGTCACATGTAAATTAGATACATATAGTCATGTGGGCAAGCGGGAACCTCCGGGTAACTGCTTACACACCACCATAAAATACACTATCTTGTATCACTTACGGCCTTGTGTGCTGAGCCACCCTAAGACCTCACACATCGGCAACAAACTAGTTGCATGGAAAGTGTTTAATTAGAGGAAGTTGTAAGGAAGGTCATTAGGATGTCACATACCTTAGCCAACCAAGGGATAGCTCCAGAATCAGTATGGAGCTCCTTTGTCAATATTGGGTATCTCAATTCAAGAATTTTGTGGACACAAAATTGATTGAAATTGTCTTCAGACGAAAATGTTTTCTTGGCTGTCCAAGAATGGAAATCACCACAAGTTCTGCTTGGATGGACTTTTTGGACAAAAATGGTGAATGAAGCAATGCATAAAGAGCTGCATGCTTCTTAATCGCAGCCTCAATGCTCTTGATGGTGGATGCATCACCAGGGAGAGCCTCATCAGTATCAGTCCCATCATCAGCTTAATTAGTAGTATCGGGGCTGATGGGAGTCTGATCAGTGAGTGTCAGTACCGGTCCGGAGCTTGATGGTGTTTGGAAATCATGCAATTGGAAGGCAGTAAAGTGTGGACTTGGTGAGGTAGACATTGTGGGCAGTGGTAAGAGAAGGTTTATCAGAGGTGGCCATAAGATCAAAAGAAAGCAGTATTTCAAATTTACATGTGTTTATTTAAAGTTGCATAGATAAAATCTGGAAAGGTCTGATGCCAGATAAACAAGAGGACCCATGGAAAATGGTACAAGTTGCCTGTTGGCTTACAGGACTCCAGCCTCTATGACTTCGTAATATTATACTTAGACCCATTGGTAGACAATATCCCATCATTTCACATGACTGATTGGCAGCAAAGCGCTGGTGAACATCATCTCAAAACCAAGTGGACTCAATGCTGGAACATTGGCCCCATGGAAGGTTCCTGCATTGTGCAGTAATTGTGCAGTAAAGAAGTTGGTCCTTCCCCAGCAAACGATTGAGAATGCCATCCAGGGCGATGCAGCCTCTGGGTGCTGTAGGGAAAGTTCCGAGGACATCATCAACAACTAAAGAATGACCCTCACATGCATGGACACTTGACCCTTGTATGATAGCAAGTTGGAATGGGAGGAAAGAGTAATTGAAGGAGTTAATCAAGGTTGTGTGTATCACTTGGATTTGACACCATGCTGAAGGTCATGTGACAAGTTAACTGGTTTAACTGGTAAGGTGACCACACATTTCAGCCTCAGTCTTGGCACAAGTTTCCCTGTGCATGGACATTCACCAGATGTTCCCATGGCTGCAGATTGAGGGGATCCGACATGCATTACATTTTTATGACATTTTTTTTGGACTGTTTATGTTAAAACATACTTTGAAGAACATTTCCTCACATTATTCTTACACTATATGGATTATATGAACCTATGAACAACTACTTAGAAATATTTTCTAGACAGAACTGTATGACACCCTGACTGAGTCATCTCTGATGGAGTCATTTCCAGCTGAGTCATTTTTGACCAAGTCACTTTGGCTGAGTCATAATATGGTTGAGTCATTTCATAGAAATGCACAGCCTCAAACCAATTCAGACTGAGTCATACACAGCCCCATCACACCTAACCAAGTCATTTTAGTTGAGTCATATCTGACTAAGTCATCTGGGCAAGTCATTAGCACTTTCTAGAACAAAAGCTTGTAAATACTCTATTGCATGTAAATAGTGCAAAGTGTGGGAAAGAAAGGTCTTGAAAGGTATAAAAGGACCATGATTTCACTCTCTTTGCAGCCCCTCAGAGAAGTAAGAAAATAGAGTAATATTTCCCTCAAGCACTTCTGGTTCTCACTCCAGTGTGAAAAAGTGATAAGACAGTTAAGTTTGCCACTGTACAAAAGGCAACAACAGTGTGATAAGTGAGATAGGAGATTTATAGGCGTCTAAGTAAGACACTTAGAAGCAGTTTGTTACTACTGAACAAAAGTGACAGTGTGAAGGGAGAAAATAGTAGTATCTCTCCACACATAGGAGTAATCACTTCCTAAACTAAAAAGTGGTAGAATTAGGTGAATTCTGACTGAGAGCTGAACAGACCAGAGTCGGCTCAGACAGACAGAATTATTTGAACAGCTCCGCAGGGTGTTTGATTATTTGATTTTTCTATAGCACACTAAACTGTTGAAAAAGCAACCAAAACACTAACACAGCACTGTACTCAACAGGTACACTCCCCCACAACCAGGAACAGGGAAAACTGCACTTTCGGTTCCGCTCCTTCAGCACTCTGGCCCTACCCAGTCCCAGGCACTTGGGCTCGATGTGGATAATCCTGTCGAACCAGGATCCCGTGCACACATGTCAATCTTTTATGCTTTTGATAGTTGCAGACGCTGAGGTATGTCAAGTATTGCAGATTACTTTTTGTCCTTGTGCTCACTTTAACTTATTAGTTTTGTCTAGGGATTTTTTGGGGCTTTCTTAATACACCCAAAGTCCTGTGAATGAATGTACTACCCTCGGATCTGATTTGACTGCCGACATTTGGCAAGTACAACTAATGCTGTTTGTTGGTGGTATCTGACTTTCTTTCCATAGCTACCCCAAGATCGCTTGCTAACATCACTTGAGCGAACAGTTATCAACATTGTAAACGAGGTCAGCATTGATGTGAATCATGCTGTGACCGATGGATGTTATTACCCTTCATCGCCGGTCTCCGTCTTGGCTATGTGAGTTCACTCACACAACTACTTCAACACCTCCACCCCTCGCTGCCATTCCCCAGCCCCATAGCTGCTCCTGCAGCTATTCTTCTCAGTGAGTCGCTCTCCATTTGTTAAACACTATGTTTCACTTTTGTTTGTTTTTGGTTTTTTTTTTGGTAATGTTCAACTTTCCACCCTCTCCCTAAACCTCAGCTTTGCACACCACCATATCTCCCCTCCCTTTTTTTTTTGTGTTTGCTGAACACTCACATTCTTTCTTTATTGTGTGCCCACTAAGCATTTCGGCTCTGTACTTTACAATCCAGTTATATACATTAATAGTATGTTTGGGTTTAGCCTGCTTCATCCATTATGGATAATAGTAAATTATACAGGTGGGTTTTGTTATGCATCGATCATTGTGTAACAATTCATATAAAACCCGAGGGTCTATCTCATATTCCCAGGCTCGCTGGCTGAGTGGTAGGGTTGTACTATATTGCTATAGACTGTATTAGTATTTCAATATAATAAATATATGTGGTATGTATCCATATGTTTTGTCATATCCTGGAATCCCGACCCTGCGCACTCCACCACACCACACCTTCCTAACAACTTCACCATCCCCTACACCATGCCTCCCCACTCCCCAAGTCACCTTCCTTCCTGACTGTCTCAGCTCCGGTCTGGTTGCAGCACACCGAACCTTGGCCACTCCCATCCCGGAAGCTCGGTCCCAAGTCGGAACATTCGGAGACTCCGGATTTGCTCCGATATCCTGACGGACCTCCGACATCCCGTGACATACCCCTAAACCATTTCTCCACCCATTTCATTTATTGGAGCCACCCAACATCCTTCGGATATGCAACTCCGCTTTCGGAGCTACCCGCATCCTTCAGTGACCTCACTCACGTTGTAACGGGTCTATCAATCTAGACTCATGGCTCAGGTCTAGGGGGGTAGGTCTCTCTCTATCTCTAGGGTAGATGTGGGTCCTGCGAGTACGGTGCTGATACTCTGTGTAACCTCTAACTAACTGTCTGTACAGTTGTCATGGAAGAGTCCGATACAAATATAAAAGGAAAGTCACATGTGTGAATGAATGAAAATCGTAAGGAAAATAAAGAAAAAGCCATATCTCCTCAACCACTCCACCAAATCCGACGATCTTGAACTCGTCAGAACCACCTCCACAGTCTCTACAACTCCTACTATTACCACAACTCACCAATCCTAGTCCCTGATGCAGTAGGGGGTGAAATGTGTGATAAGTGTTGGTTTGACCTGCACGGACTTGTCCCCACAACAACGTCATCACTTATTAGTCACCTTCCATTCTTAGCATGACTATCTTCTTCTTACCATTCAGTCGGCTAACCCCCCTTACCCATTTCTTGTTCCCATTCATTTTCCGGCCTCTTACTCCGCCCTCCTTGATCCAACACCTCGGTTCCCCATTAAAGATATCATTCGGGACCTTTCAGTACCTCTCGGTATCATTCGGTGTTCTTCTATTATCATTCGGACTTTGACTAAGTCCTTTCCATTCCCCCTTATAAATACCCATAGATTAGAACCTGTAGTTCCTCAGTTCTAATCTCGACTAAAATGCTACCCAGAGTCCCTCTGAGTGAATCCTGTTCCCTTTCTACAAGATACCTCAGACATAAGAAATACAAGGACTAACTGAGACATAACGGAGGCACAGCGCTCCCTCCGAGTCGCTGAGGCCACGTCCTCCTTAGAGCCTCTTGTACCATCCAGCAGAACCGGGCTTCCTGGAGAAGCTTCAGTCCACTACTGGAGCTCTTGGATCCCCCTCTAGTTGAGCCCCACCTGCATTCGGACTCACGCATTTTCCCCTACGATCCAGGTTTTTGACATGTTTGTGGTATATGAGGTTGTTGGTTCAAACACCCAAGGGAGTACAACTAGGTTCATTTCTTTTTGGGCTATTGCTGTGGTCACGTTGCAATGCATTGAAACTCAATAAGTTGCGTTGCAATGCATTTGAACTCAATGGGTCACGTTGCAATGCATTTGAACTCAATGAGTCATGCTACAATACATTTAAACTCAATGGGTCCTGTTGCAATGCAGGGCTGGCTGTTGCAACGCTAAGTAATCAATGCAAGACTTGCATTGCCACCATCCCGTTTTGGCCATTGTATTGTGTTGCATTGAGTTACAATGTATTGACACGGATTTGTATTTTTTCGGACAAAGATACACTTGCGATACATTTCAATTACATTCTCAAAGTCAGCCCCACTTTCAGAATGAGCTCTTTCATCGGGAACCTTTCTCACTTGTTTGAGACCTGTCAGGCTGATGCCACCCTTCTATTCTTCCTTCCTTCTTGACTCAATGTTACTCCAGGTTCTGCAGGTCAACGGCGGTTGGACAACATAGCAGTTAACTCTTAGATTATAGAGTAATATAAACATGTGTAAATACATGCGCTGAGGGCGCTTCCTCCAACAGGTTCCGCTTACTTCTCTGTACATACTGTCAAAATGTGTGTTTGAATCATTATCTGAGAGGACCTGCTGCAATGGCTGTGCAGGTTTCAGCGATGCGAAGCGCGCACTCTAGTATTAATGCCGGTCCGTAAAGCATTTCCCCGAGGTGGCAGTCTCTGCACCAACACAGACGCGTCGACCTGACCTTCCCCACAAACCCCCAGACAACCTTTGCCCGCGAAAGCTATGGGGGTTCCACCCAAAAAAAAAAAAAGAAGAAGAGGCAAAAAATTTTCAATAGCTTAAAATCTGGTGACCTTCCCGTTCCCACGCCCCACATTGGTTTCTCATAGCTCTTCCGCTACCGGAATTATGAGCGAAGACCATACCGTTAAAGGACTATCACCCTTTGATACGCAGTACGACGGCTCCAATCT